TGTTGGAAGAAAAAGTATCGTCTAACGAAGAGTCTCTTTGTATTTTGGATACCCGCAGTACTTTCTTAGAAGATTTTCAAAAACAAAGTAGTAGTGCTATGGATCAGCTTCGTTTAGACCATAATGCTCTTCAATCGAAAGTACAACAGTTGAGCGCTGAACTACAAAAAGTATCAAAAATAACATCTGTACCGACTAACTCAACAGTTGCTCCTACATCTTTTATTACTCCAGCACCTATCACATCGTCTACTCATTTACCCATTAATTTGAACCACACATCTAATTTTGAGAATAGCCGTTTATCTGTGTCTATGCTTTCTGAAAAGTTTAATGATGTTATACCTGAATTTTCTGGTCATGTGAATGATATTCACCCTGAGTTATTTTTGAGTCAAGTTGACTCATATTTTGAAAATATTATTTGTACTGAACAACAAAAGATTAATAGTATCCAGCGAAGATTAGTTCGTACTGCAAGACTTTGGTATGATGCATTAATTCCATCACCACAGTCATATGATGAATTTAAAGTCATCTTCCGTTCCCAGTTTTGGTCTGAGGCTATTCAAGATCGAGTACATGATGAGGTTTTACGCCCATACCGTTATTTGTCAAACACGGGACTCTCCATACATGCTATGCAATGGATTGCCAAAGCTCGTTTCTTGGATCCTCCAATATCTCCTTCGCGTCTAGTTAAAGTTATTTGCCAACATTTTAACGAACATATATGTACTGCACTTAAGGGACGTGGCCCAAAGACTACATCAGAACTCTTGGCTGTCTTATCAGAATTTGACAATTCACCTTCGTTCCATTCAACTACTGGCAATAATAATAATACGCGTGGGTTATCAAATGGATCAAATGTTGAAGTCGAACAGAGGCCGGAGAATGTCAACTATCGTCGTCATTTCAACAACAACAACAACAACCGTCGGTTTGAAAATAATCGTGGACGTGGCAACGATAGAAGTCGAAACCAAAGTTCACCAGGTCCTTCTCCGGGAAACGGGGAGCCGGGCGTCTAGGTTTTTCGACTCCTAGTCGTTCGCTTCGTCGCACTGTCGAATGTCCTTCAGACTCGAGTGTGAACCTTCTTAATAATAATAATTCTTGTTTTTCTTCACCGGAAATTAATGTTAAAATATTTAATTTAAATTATCGTGCTCTTCTAGATACAGGTGCAGACAAAATAATCAGTAAATTTTTATGTTATATGATGGTCCATATATTATTGTAGATGTCAAAAATACTAATTCATATGTCCTCCAAGATCCTGATAATGGGAAGATTAAGGGAACATATAATATAATCTTTTTGCGGAAGTACAGAGATCCTAATCAATAAGTCTACATCATCAAATTTTTTTTGTCTTTTCTTTTGAATTCCATTTTGGTCAGTTCAATCTCTTGAGAAGTTTTGTCGTTTTACGTCAAATCTTCTCAGGGGGGTTTCTGTAACGTGACAAAATGTGAATGTTATGATATTGATAGATTACTGTTTTGCTTTGCTAATGGGCGCGCGTACGTTATATCCGGCCGTGTAATCAGAAAACTGTACTGTTGCTGTCAAGGTGAACGCTATACACACAATATTCTTTATCAGTTTAACAATCGTTCCCTATATGACACATACACTGGCCACCACTGTCCATACCTGTATAACTCTAATATTGTTCATATTTTTATCTGTTGTATATTTTGTAAATCGTTAAGCCGATACCCTCTCCCAAACGGGTTCGTCGTCGTTGTGTCTCGCCCGGTGTGTAGAAATTTTTTCGTAGCTCTCNGCCGATACCCTCTCCCAAACGGGTTCGTCGTCGTTGTGTCTCGCCCGGTGTGTAGAAATTTTTTCGTAGCTCTCTTCCTTTTGAACCACCGTTGTGGTCTGTTTTGCTGTGTGCGTACAGCCAATTATAGTTTCTTTTTTTTTTTCGTGAGTGTTGTTCGCTTTTAAAAATGCAATAATTTAACAAGGCGTCGGCCATTTTCCGGGGCCGAGATCCCCATCTTAGGATGAGTCCCATCCGGGACTGGGTATCGTAT